AGGACCCCTTTCTGCATCATACAGAAATACACTTTCTGATGCACCAGAAAGGTCCATTATATAATGCCCTTCCTTTCATGCCATGGCCGAAAGGGTGGCAACAGCATAGTTGTTTAGAATCAGACCCCAAAGCAGAAATTGTCAAGCAATTTGGGTGGGCAGTGCCTCGGGTTGGTCTCTTGATGAGTCCAAACTTTTGGAAAACCATGTTGTTTGGGTTTAGCTATTTTTGCGCGCAAGGCAAACAACCAAAACGAGGCAACCTGTCCTCAAAAGCAAATGACACAGTGTTGTCTTGCGCTGTTCAGCAACAACCCCCTGTATTTGCAGGCAACATTGGGGCAACTGCTTGTGAACAAGAGTAACAAAAGGTTATAAGGTTATTCAAATCCAACAATTGCATTGATCTGTTGCAAACAACTAGTGGCTTCAGGCTACACTGCTACACCACACAAAAGTAGCCATGCAGTGCCGTTAGTGCCGCAGTCCTTCAGACGAGGATTCCGTCTCGCTCTCCTCCTGTCCGTCTGAGGAAATGCGAAAAAGTGCGGCGCGTCAACTAACCCCACAAAACTTCCAACTTCGACCAACCCCGGAAATCCCAGGAAGCTGCTCTGAGATAGCAATCTTGAGTCTCAAACACTGAATCACTGAAGCTGAAGAGTCAAAGGTTTGATCCACGGAGGAAAGAGTAGGAAGAAACGACGTACCAGACGTTGCAGTGACAGAATAGGCCTCAGAAACTACAGTACATGATTTGGCAGCAAGAACAAAAACACAACATTAAGAAGAGGGGAAACAACAACAACAACAACTACTACTACTACTACCACTACCACTACCACTACCACTACCACTACCACTACTACTACTACTACTACTACTACTACTACTACAATTACAAAAGGGTTTCAAATCCGACTCCGACGAAAAAAAACAAATCCGCCCCTCGTGTTTGGGTGCAACATCAAGATTTAATACATCAGCAAGACGGAAGGGTTGGTGTCTAAGGCCTGATGTTACCTATGCACACTTTCTCCAAGGTAAGTTTGGTTTGGGTTGTCTCCAACCTGCCGCGTGAGCAGGCAAACCCTAGCATCCACCGGGCTTGACATTTCCAAGCGACGTTTATGCTGCAAAAAATTAAAGCACACTTTGGCACTGTGGGTTCTGCATGCATTTGTTGCAAGTTTGGAAGCTGGCAAACTCCCGCAAAAGAACCTGTTGCCAACGACCAATCTGATGAATGGATTCTTGTTGTGTTCACAGCATTGACCCAGGAACTCCAAAGAGCATGTTGTGTTTCTGAACTATGGCCTTGCAAGAAGAGCTTGTTTAAAGAGACTATGACATGATTTGAAAAAAGAAAAGAAAAAAGAACTTGTGTATGACAACCCAGCCTGGGAGACAAGTCTACATGGACTTGCTACTAACGAGTTGCGAGAAGGTGGACACACTAGCCCAGACTGATGCGGACACACTTAAAAGCATTGAGAACACCAACAGTAAACTGATTGGGGAGAACCCCAACAGTAAAGTGATTGGGGAAACAGCCTCCTATCAAGTGCTTTTACCAATAATAATCCAGAACTGGTACATTTTGGGTCCTTGGTCTTGTCGGATATACGGAACTAGCTCGACGAATGTTTCAGTCACGATGGTTGGGAAGTGGGCACCACTCTTTTGCAGCCTTCTCCAAGGTTTAGGCACGCGCTTCCCTTGAATTCACTGAATTCACCATCCATAAGCAGTATACCGAATACCTGAATCTGCCCTCCCAAAAAATTATTGGACCCGCCCTCGTTGCAGGAATCTCGACCCAAACAAGGAAACCCTTTCCAATGGTGATAGTATTGTTATCACAATAGCACCTTTTGATACTATCAAAAGGTGCTGTTGTGATGAAATCGAAGGATCCACCACGTCGCTACACCCTGCAAGACAGCCCTCCGCCATTTGGGTGCAAAGCTGACATTTGATGGAAATGACGGCGGTTGCCGTGAATCAAAGAGAACAATGGGAGGAAGTGAAAAAGTGCACCAATTTCAAACGCAAGCAACTACAGCCACAGCCACAAGCACGACCAAAACCCCACCCAGGGCAGCAGAAGCAGCAGCAGCAGCAGCACCAGTAATGTATATAAATCTTTGCTAATCTACTAGTTATATTCTAAGTTATATAAAATATGTTGCTGTTATAAGTTATAAGTTATAAGTACGAAAGCTCTCTTAATATCGACATTGCTGCCCCACCAAGATTGCAGAATGGTCTCTTGCTAACAGGTTCGAGGTTCTTTCATATCATTCATGACCACGCTCCAGAAAAGAGAGAAACCCTAGAGTGAGGTGGCTTCATTAAAAGGTCTGCTGGAGCAATGGCAGCACATGCAACACAAACAGCAAAAGAAAGCATCAAAACTACAGTAAAAAAAAATACACATGTCATGACAACCACAACAAATGACAACTGACATTCCTGATTTGAAACGGATTCCTCACATATGGTCTTGTGGTGACCCTGGCTGGCAGGCTCCTCCCGACGGCCGCAACATCCAGACACCTGCCAAGTTTGTTCGAACATGCAAGTAGTTTGAGAATTCAGCAAGCACCCTTGACAATTTTGTGTTCTATTTATTCTTAGATTAATACTATGTCAATTATATATAAATGTCTCCATCAGTACCATATGTCCGATGCGTCACTGTCAGTCCTGCTTTACGAGACGTCAGTGCTCATAAACTGGAGGAACAAGTCTAAACGTTGAGGCTGTGTCTTGCTAAGCAGCGTGCACTCATGACCGACCAGTAGTGGCTTACAGTTGAGCAACCTTCCTAAGCCAAATGCTTGTACCTTTGATGTTGCTTCTTCCAAAGGTATCTGCCTTTTCCAGGATGTGGGTGGAGGCAAATTACCAGAAGGAATAGACCGGAAGGTGGGTGGGTATATAAGCGAAACCAAATTTGCCAAATGGGGCATTAGCCGGCTTTGCCCTACCGCCATAATCTACAACCTATATAATCATCCAGCAGTCCTTCATACTTTTCTCAACAAAAACATTACTCTTGCATACATGTTCTTAATACCCACACTGTGGCCAAAGCAAGCAAGCCTAATGTTGACTGTTCATGAATAATTAAAACACACGCAATATGGAGATGTAGAACAATCTTGGTACAGGGGTGTTATTAATCAACTGTCAACATTATCTCTGTGGTGGTTGATGGCATTCTGCTTCTCTGGGCCCTCCGACGAAAGATGGGCGCGATTCACCCGCGTGCCCTTCCACAGCGGCCACCACGGCCTTGGTGTCACCATATGCGAGAATTTGCAGTGAGCCTGCAAAGGTTGAAAACTGCTAAAGGAAATCTATAAACATACTGTATGACATTAATTGTACTGTATATATATATATAATTGTAAAATGTATGTGATTCAAAGACATTTCGGGTAGTAATTAGAGTTGTCTGGTGATTTTTGGCTTTGCAATGTGGCTGGTCTAAACTGGGCATCCTGGCGCCGACGGACTTCCTGCCCATACGAACTTCCCGCCTCAGAGCCGACTTCAAAACCAAATGTATATGATTCTTGAGTTGGTGCGAAAATGTGAACCTGTAAAGCCAGTTTCTGAGCAATCACTTCTGAGATACATGTGTGGGGCTTTTGTAATGCTGACGATCTGCAAAAAAACTAGCTTCAAGGCATCTTCATATGTGTGTCTTACGTCCGTACCGAAAATCTCAGCAGGTGGCTGCTCGCCCGAAAAGGACGACAGCCGCGAATGGATGCTGGGCGTGCGGTTCTTTGAGCTCCCACCTGGAGCTATGCATGGGCAGCTGTTCTCGTTCACAAAGGCCAGGGGGCAAGGGACATAGTTTCATCATGGTTCATCAATGTATGAGGAAACAGAGGAGACTTAGACTTCTTCTCCAAAGTCCTTGTAGTGTCTCGAGTGAGGCCACCCTGAGCTTAATTCTGCATGCAAACAGAAAAAGCACTGTCACTGTCATGGCCTTGGTCCGGAAGAACAGGAAGAACATCATTCCCAGAACATGTTATCAGAAGCCTTTGCCACAGAGAACTCTTGCCTCAAGCTCAGTACTCAATGCAGGAGTGTGCAGTCAGGCAACCATTCTTTCGTCCCCAAGGAGCGACCAAGAATATCAAATCATATCAAATCACCATAATCACCCACATCTCCTCTCAACAGCGGCGCTTTCCTACCCGGCACCTCCATGTCGAGAGGTATCCAGGATCTCAGCAGGATCGGAACAGCAAACATTGCGGAGCGTCAACCGTTTTTTCGTCGAAGATCGAAGGCCCCAAATTGGGAGCGACGCTTAAGCACCCCGACGCCCATCAACGCTTGGGAGCGCCGCTTCATGGCTGAAGCCTGGGAGAGCAGACGGGAGAGCAAACGGGAGCCCAGACGAAGCCAAAATGGGGAGCTCTCCAAAGTATCAGGAAGTCAAACAGCACTCGCTTCCTACAAGTTTATTCAGTTTCAACAAAATCCTAGAAAGAACATGAAAGAAATTAAGTATATTGGTTTGTGCGACTTTGTGTCAGCAGGATTCTCACCCTTGCAAATACTTTTGTCACTCATCATCGTTCGTGGCTTTCAGGAGACGAGGCTGTCAGCGCACTCGCTATGCCAAGATCTTTAGAAGGATCCCTCTTCCCCCCCCTCTCTCGCTCTCTCTCGCTCTTGCTCTCGCTCTCGCTCTCGCTCTCGCTCTCTCTGTCTGTGCCGCTTTAGGCCACCAAGCCCGATAGGTTGTCACGGTCCTCAGTTTTTCCAGCTGCAGAATCAATTAAAGCCTACGAAGGATTGCAAAGCTCTACTCATCTCTAGAATTTCAAGAGATTCCAAAGGCAAAGGGGCTTCCCATGAATGAAATCGCAATGCCCTTTGAGAAAAGCTATATATATATATGTATTATACATCGAGTTCTCATGAGATCTCTGTGTTTATGTTTTTCCCTGGAACCGTCCCCAAGCTTTTTGAGGCGAACTCAGAGACTTGGTGTCTTCTTTTTGCGTACGCTTCCTGTAACTGAAGACTTCATCTGAAGATTACCACGTTTGATGGCAACAAAAGAACCATTGGAGGGCTTGAACTTTACAGGACAGAAGCTGCCAAGCTCTACTGGCAAATCTGTACATGGCTCATGGCAGAACCCAAGCTGCCACACTGTATGTCTGAGCACAGCTAGAGCACCTGGCAGGACTGAAATTGTCACACTGTGCGGTTGAGCGGGGGGTGAGTCACCATGGCTAAGCTCATGGCACAAGGTCTGGAATTGCGAGATGAGACGCATCATGAGACATCGGCTGCGTGATGTTCTGGATATTTGGTGCAGGACTTTCGCAGCCAGCACAGTCAGGTGTCCTGTGCCACGCAGGGCGCGACACCCACTGGCACCATTCTACACACCCAGTTGTGGAATAAGTTACGTTTGGCAGTGTGTCTGGTGTGCAATGCTTGCATTCTGGTGTGTCCGGCCAAGACGAGGCCGAGGTCCAGCTGCACCAACTTGCACACCTTTCGGTGACAGAGGGTGCTGCAGGGTCTGCAGGATCTGCAGGGCCTGCGGCACCTGCAGGGCGAGCACTTGATCCGCACTCTGCCACATACTGCAGAGAGCTCAAGGGAACCCACTGGCACCAATCTGGTAACTGCACCTTCACCTTCACCTTCAATCCTGGCTCTGAGAGTTTCTCAGTGAATACCACTGGAATCACGAATTGCTCCAGTGGCTGCTCGCAAGTCTTGCAGTCGTGTGTCCCCTCCCAAGCAGGTCTTGATAGCCATTGGCAGGATTTCTTGCATGCACGTTGCACCAGCGACACGCTAGCAGACTTCTGGCTTGTTGTGACGAAGCTGTAGCAGCCACGACATTCTGGCGTGTAAACCCAAGATGGACCGGGAACCCATTGGCACCAACTTGCACAAACAGGATGGCCATAGGTGCCAAAAGGGTACACATAGCCAGAGCATTGCGGGACATATTGCTGAGAGGCCAATGGCACCCAGCGACACCAGTCTGCCTGTCCTGTCGCCAGTGTCAATAGTGCAGCTGAGAAGAGCTTCATCCTTAAATGCTGAGTCTACAAGGCTTCGAGGTGCGAGCTTGAGCCAAAAGCTCACCTCCAACGGCCAGTTTCTTCAAGAATCCTCCTGAAGGCATACTTCGGAGATCTCTTAAGGGCCCTGCATAGCTTCGATGAATGGCAGGCATCCAGCAGTGTGGTTCAATACATGGCATCAAATTACCATCCACTTATCGCCATTCGTCTGAAGAAAGCGCATTCGTCATTTGTGGTCAGCAAGCTGAGAACATAAGAACCAATACTGTGACCAACTGTCAACAAGTGGCCGCGGCCCAAGAATGGGTCTGGGCCTGAAGTTTCGATTGGGTCTTCGATTGTTTCAATCAAGTCCTCTGTCTTGCTTGTGTGCTTGCCTTTGAGAAAGCCGCATGCGTCTCCCACTTCCCATCAGTGCCAAGCGACGCAGATGAAGTAGCAGCACGGTAGCAAATGGGACACACCTTCGCTGGAAGAGGGAAATCACCAAAAGAGGTTCAACAGCCAAAAACTCTGAGATTCAGTCAGCTGGGCATAGAATTCTTTATATACAGTATGTCTGCCGGACAAAATCTCTTACTTGCCTAGAATGGGTCTGACCCCATCGGTTCTGCAGGTTTGTAAGGTTGGCTGCGTTTCAATCTTTGTTGGGTTCAACTGCAGTAGTGGTTGTACAAGTTGTGGGGGTAGCTGCTCTTCCATGGACACAAACATGTTCAAAGTGGGCATCGGTCAGCATCGGTTCGGGCATCGGTAAGGCTCTGCGGTGAGAAAGCTAATTCAGTGGTTGGAAATTTGCAACACGTCTTTTATACTGCCTAAAAGCAACTCAATCTCAAACTGAGAAGAGCAACATACCAAGTGTTTGCGCCGGCTGCAAATGTAAAATGGCAGCGTGCTTCCTAAAGTGATTGGCACATGTTGGTACATCAAAAGGGCCTGGGTAAACGGGTCGGCCCCCATCGCAGGTTTCCAATACCCCAAGACCACCCTGTGACTACTTTAGTGTGCACTAGATTTTGTCGGGTGCTCATATATAGACCTTTGCAAATCTTTGGTCATTTGGATCATTTCATCCCCTTGCTGGCGTCTCTCATTTGACTTCTTGAACGGCCAAAATGCATTTCTGAGAACATTGCTGATTCACACGTTTGCAGGCGCTACTAGGAGCAGGGACGCTACTAGGGGCTCCTGGCCTTACTACTAGGAGCAAGGACGCTGCTAGGGGCGCTCCTGGCATTACTTTGTTTAAAAAAACACCCGCCTAAGTGTCACATGCCTCTTCAACAGTTTTGGTGGGCACTTGAGACAAGGACCAATAGCTGCCGAGACTTTTATTTGGCCCACGAAGGAGCATTGCTTGTGGGTGGATCAATCAGGATTCTTGGAAGCACAAGTGGAGAAAAGTGGATGTGTGGATTTCACTCCATGCAATCAGGTTGGAACAGCTTTTGACCGTTCCGGTTGCTGTTTGGCTACCCTGCGCCCATGCAGGGGCCCCTTGAACCTCGTTCATGCTACGCCATAGGCAAAAGACACGCCTCACTGGTTTTCACGCTTTCCATCCCGACACTTCGTGCGGTCGCGATACAACACGAGTTTCCACTTCCGTGTTTTCATATTGGTAGCGGAGCCTCCTCACACGACCTATGCTGAATGGCGGAGGCGAGTGACCTTGTACGCCCGGAAGCTTGAGCTTCAAGGGCGGAAGAGCGAAATCGCCCTCAACGTCCTCTCAGTCCTTGAAGGTCCATCCTGGACCCAGTGTGAAGATTTGGATCTCCATGAGCTGGAGAAAGAATCTGGCCTCGACATCCTTCTCAAGTGCCTGGACCGCCAATGGGCGTATGACGCCAAGGTCGAAATGCCGACCCACTTCGAGCAGTTCTTCTTCAAACTGCGGCGCAAGAAGGACCAGTCGATCCTGGAGTACACCACCGAGTTCCACCAGACCCTCAGGCAGGTCTCAAAGCACAAAGTCGATCTTCCTGAGGAGATCACCGGCTGGATGATGTTGAAAAGAGCCGGACTGACCAAGGAACAAGAGCAGCTCATCCAGACCAACATTGGCTCGACCCTCACGCTCCCAGCTGTCGAGCAGGCTCTCTACCTGATCCTCGGCCAAGATCATCGCCATGTTCACCTTCCTGCACACCTGAGGAAGCCACAGCTCCCCGGCCGATGGAAGAGGCAGAGCCAAGTCTTCTGGGAGGAGGACTATGAGTTGGATGAGAACTATGAGAATGAAGAGACCTACTTCCAGGATGCCATTGACCCCGACGAGTTCCAGGAGACCATGGGGGAATGGGATGACCCAGAGCCCGATGACACCTTCTACTACGATGAAGCTCAAGAAGAGCTGGACTCCATGTTTGACACCCAGGAGTTCGATGACATCTACAGCACCTACGTTGATGCCAAGAACCGCCTCAACCAGCTCAGACAAAGCCGTGGCTTCTACCCCGTCGTGGCAGTGGTTGATGGTGGAAAGGGTCAAGCACCTTTGATGGCCCAAGGATCCGGCAAAGGCAAATCCAAGAGTCCTGGCAAGTCAAAGAGCTCTTCCAAAAGAAAAGGCTCCAAGTCAGGAAAAGGGCCCAGCGGCAAGCAAAGAGCTCGCTCAGCTATGGTACGCCTTCGTTGCGGAAAGCCTGGCCACTTCGCAGCAAATTGTTCGACGGCAGGTGCACAGTCGAGCTCACCAAAGAAGCGACCTGCAGATGATGACTCAATGGTCAACATGGTCCTCAGCATTGAAGAGTTCTATGATGCTGAGGAGGGCTACGACTATGAGAATGAGATCTTTTATGACCCTGAAGAGGCCTACGCCCAAGGGGAAGCTTTGGTTCGTGCCGGTGGCTGGCTCACGCCAGATCCTGACGCCTGCATCCAGGACCAAGGAGCTTCTTCGTTCCTGGCTGGCAGCGAGTACATCCTGCGCTACCTCAAGTGGCTGGAAATCCTCGGCTACCCCATGGACAAGTTGAACTTCAAGCAGTGTGACAAGTCCTTTCGCTTCGGTGGCGATGCTACGGGACATTCAAAGTGGACGATCGAGCTACCAACACGTCTGGCTGACGTTGGCGGCAAGATCCAAGCCTATGTGATCTACGGTGCCACTCCCATGCTGTTTGGCCGACCCTTGCTTGAAGCCCTCCGTGCCGAGATTGACTTTGGCCGCTCTCGGATGCGCATGCTTGACCAGGAGACCTGGCGGGATATCCCACGTGGCCGTCAGGGAGCAATGCTACTTCGCCTCGCTGAAGAGGTAAATGAAGGGGTGACACGTCCTGATGACTTCTTCCCCGAGACATTCGACCTTCGATGCGAAGATGACCACAACAATGGCCTCAAGCTGAATGACTTCTTGGACGACCTCAACGCCCACGAGCGCTTCTTCGAGATGACCACTGAAGCGCACGCCTACTTCCAGGCATGTGAAAAGGGTGAAACGGACGAGATAACCTACATGGAGGTCGACCAGGAGAACATGACCGACCTACTACCTGGTGAAACAAGCAAAACGATTGAACAGTTGGAAAAGACCCTCACCATGTTTGAGCACCAGCTGGCCGAACATCAGAAGACACTTCAACAAGAAGTACATCATGCCCGGGAACATGGCCTTTCCCACCGCAAGCGGCTAATCTGGGAAGTCTATGCTGGAGAAGGCCGCATCACTCAACTCCTTCAAGCTCATGGCGATGTGGAGGTGATGCGCTTCGGATGGGAAGATGGATGGGACTTCAACAGAGCCGCACATCGAACAGCTCTCCTACGCTTGTGCGATGAGCTTGAGCCTGACGAGATCTCTGGTCGAGGATGCAGCAGATCAATGTGCACAATGAGGCTCAAGCTGAAGATCTTCAAGAACGCCGTGAAGTGGACCGGCGAACCCATCTGACTATGTGCAAAAAGCTATACTACAAGCAGGTGAGAAGAGGAGACCACGCCCACATCGAGCACCCTCACCTGAGTCTAGCTTGGGAGACGCCTCAACTCCGACATCTTCCCGGACATCAAGCGATCTTCGACCAATGTGCCTACGGAGCAGTTGCCGAAGCCGATGACGGCTCACTCCTGCCCATCAAGAAGACCACCAAACTGCAGACTACAAAATGGGCAATGTTTAACCTGATGTCCAAAAGGTGCGATGGACAACACGTTCACCAACGCCTCGAAGGACGGAACAGGTGCAAGAAAGCCGAGAACTACCAGACTGAGCTGGCAACCGTACTAGTTCGTGGACTTCTTCTTCATGAAGGCCTTAGCGAACAGGTCTACACCGTCCACAATGAAGATGACAAAGCTCTCACTGGTGTCCTTCGCAAACTCGGCAAAGTTCATGGCAGTGAAGCAGTCCGCACCGCCTACCGACTTCACCGGAATCTTGGTCATCCTCGCAAAGATGTTCTTCTCAAGATGCTCAAGGAGCGAGGATGCAATGAGGCAGTTCAAGCGACAGTTCAAGACCTTCACTGTCCATACTGCGAGATCCACTCCGTCAAGAAGGGCAACGCACCTGGCCATTTGGACAGACCCACCAAGTTCAACACCCAGGTTCAAGCTGATGTTTTGTGGTTGGAGATGGATGAGATTGGCATGCTCCTTGAGGCTGGTCAACGCAAGCAGCGCACCAAGCGCATTGCGGTGCTCATCATGGTGGACGTTGCCACTCGCTACATGGCAGCTCGCACAGTCCCAGACGAAAAGGGCATCTCTCTCCAGAAGGCCCTTGAACGAGCCTGGATCCAGTTCCATGGACCTCCTAAACAGCTCTACGTCGATGAGGGAACTGGATGGGCTTCAGATTCCACAGCTACATGGTCTGAACAGCACGACATTGAGCTTCGCATATCACCTGGCCAAGCTCACACTCGCACCAGCATCGTTGAGCGCAGACATCAACTGGTTCGGAAGGCAGTCTCCATCTTCATGCTGGAGCACGAACTCAAAGGCCTTGACGGAGTTCAGCAGGCTCTATCATGGGTTGTTCCCTCGGTCAACTCCAACACCTTTGTGAATGGCTTCACTCCGTCCCAGCTTGCATTAGGCCGAGAACCTTCAATGCCCGGACTCCTTTCTGATGAACGTACTGGACCACTACAACTTCAGATGGCCGAGCAAGAGCGACTTCACAGACGCCTCACTTTGAAGTTCTCAGCCCAGCAGGCTTGTGGCAGGGCTGAAAATGATGTCAAGCTGCGCCGAGCTCTCCTTCGCAGGTACACTGGCCGTGATGAAGACCTTCATCCTGGAGAACGATGTCTGTACTGGCGAGATGCTGCTGATCGAGCACACACCATTCGCTGAAAAGGTCCTGCAATCGTTCTGGCCATCGAGAGAAACCCTGACACTGGCACCGTGTCCTGCTATTGGTTGGCTCATGGAACCGTTCTCCTTCG